CTATCAAAATGCCTGCCATTTGATATAAATAAACAAATAACATCTGTAGATAACTGTAAGTGTAAACTCTGGAGATAATCAAAACCAAACCAAAAACAACACATTAATCGACATTCATCACACCACCTTTCACATAAGCATATAAGCTGGCACTAATGACAGGATATCTGGTACATAAATTTGGTAAGATCAGCAAGCAAAAGGGTATTTAGAGTTCAAATGTCTGCCCATATCTGCTTATTGTAACTTCTTATAAAATTACGTCAACAGCACAACTCCTTAATGGCATTCTTCTATTTCGATCTCACTAATGAATAAAAGCATTCAACGATTACAAGTGAATGGACGCAAACGACTTTGCCTTTCTAAATAGCATTCATTTAAATTAGCATCAAGTGAGAGCATTACATAAAATAAGAGCGACAAGATTAAAGCATTCAATACTCGATAAAACAAAAAGGTATCAAATATAAAGAACCACACATATTAGGAAAAAACCGTTATTTCTAGAACTATTTGAGAAAACAGATCAAACAAAGCCCGAAACAATTTACTTTAAAAAACGAATATATATAAAAAGATGAGGTGCAAAAATACCCTTGTTGTTGCTGTGAAGGCATGTTATATCCACCTCTGGGAGGAGAGTTCATCTGTCCCATACCATACATGCTACCAGCACTCGAAGTATTATTGTATCCTATCATTGGACCAGTCATTTGCTGCTGTTGATTAGTTCCAATCGGTGTTTGTGATGGGGTCACAGGCATTGGTGGTTGTGGCTGCTGTTGGAAACCACCATTTACGTTGCCATAGCCATTGCCTCCACCGTCAGGGTAGGAGCTCCATGGCTGTTGAGGCCTCAACGAGGAATGAGGCATACCCCCACGAGGAGCAAACTGCTGATGTTGCTGATACATTTGTTGTGGCATTCCACGTTGGGGTGATTGCGGCTGAAACTGTGGTGGCCCAGACAAGTAGACACCGGGTGGAGGTGGTCGGATGTAGTTTTGGGGCCCACCTGGGCCCATATATTGATTGGGGGTATTGCCGTTGTTCATACTACCGCCACCACCGATTGGCATGCCCTGAGAGAGGGCCTTTAAGCCTTCTGGGGAAAGCCAACCTCCGTAGGTCAATGCATCAGGTTCACTGAAATTAGCCGGATCGTAATTCTCAACTGGACCACGAACCTGCATTTTCTAAAGAGGGAGACTTATTTTCAATGAAATATTACAAAGTGATAGTATGCTTCTGTAAGATACTTATTTCATAACAAAAGAATTGCACATGATCAACTATGCTTGCCAGAGGCCATTTAAACTAATGTAATTTTGACATCTATTTTCAAATCAACACACTAGCAATCATACATTGATTAGACTTGCGGTTTAATAGAAATAGGCTCGTTGCATCATAATAAATTTTAACAGCTGCTCATAGACGGAACTCTAAACTGCTTAATATGAGATATAGATATTAGAATCGCAACGTAACCCCAAGCAGTCGCCATTTAAACTTGAGATATGTTTAATTGTCCAAACAATTGGAACTTGGACAATACAGATAAGATCCACTAGAACACAGTTTAAATCAAACAATTATAGCTACTAAATCTCTAGATAAATTTAGCCAGATATTCTAATGAGTACACAATAGCAGAATACCACAAAGCTAGAAGTAGGAAATTCGTCGAGCATTAATGCGATTACAAGTTTATTAACTGCAATAAGTTTCCACACATGTTATAAAATTAATGAAATAGAAGGGGATGACTACAAAAGAGCAGAAATGCTATAAAAGAACATTCCTAACAATAAACGCCTAACTTTTGGAACTAGGGATTAAAGAAATGTAAATGCCAAAACTGAAAAAATACAATTGAAGATCACCAACCAGCATACACCTGAACTCCTAACATGTTTTAACGACAAGCGTAATAAGAACATATACTTACTTCAGCAACGTTAAGGATTTCATACAAGCACTGAATCGCGTTCTCTGATTCAGCAATAAGTTGGACAACTCGATCAGTAGAACCAGGCGCCAACATTTGATAGACCTTTATCACCCGCATCTGATGCTTTTGTTTCATATCGCGAATCTTCTCACCACCCTTACCGATAATGAAACCAGCAATACTCTGATGTATCAACACTCGAATATCAATCATTTTATCATCAGCATCGTCTTTATTACCACCGTCTTGTTGGTCACCATCACCCTGATTCCATTTACGACGTTGTATCCTTTGTTGGCCCATGATTACTTTGGGATCAGACAGTTTAGCACTGATTATTTCCTGAAGCAAGAAAATTACGCGGAACAATGCAAGGATTACCTTAACTTTTGGAAGTATATCACGCCAAACGTCACATATTTTGTCTAAATCACCTTCGATAGTGAAGACACTAAAATTAGAAATAAAATGCCATTTGGAAAATGCTAGAAGCAAAACGAAAATAATAAATTTTGTGCATTTGAACCACAGCTGCCATTAACTAATCAATAGAATTTTAACTCAGGAACGATAATAATGAACTCGTCGCAGAACATGCAAACGTGATTATATTTTGGTGGAAATAGGCAGCTGTTTTACATGACGAAATAAATCAAAAAATTAAAAAAAGAAAACAGATAAAACAGCACATGTAGTGAACTAGCTTCCTACCGTTCAGTGCTTCGTGAATCGGGGATATGTAGTTGAACTGAGAACTGTTAACAATGAACAAAAAGAACAGTTGGAGAGTTGACGTTACCCAGGAGAATAAAAGAATGCGTGAAAGATGAACGCAACATGAAAACCAAAGGATAAACGTTAAATTTGCATAAGGTCGTGGAGTTCATCGAGGAAAATTGCGTGATTTTCAATGGTTGTTACGTCAAGGATAACGTGGGAGCGTAAAAAGAAATAAAAATAATAAACCATGTTAGAAAATCAGAAGCTACTAATACTAGAGAGATATATGCAAGAGAAATGATATTATGAAGCAAATGAAAAAGATAATGACCTGATTGCGGATTCTTTTTATGTTTTCACCTCCTCGTCCAATAATCAAACCGGCTGCACGGGCTGGTATCAAAAACCTAACAATGGGCCCACCGTTTTCTATTTTTTGCATTTTTTTCGGTGGTTGATCACCATCCAGTTCTTTTCCATCCCTTTTCATCATGAAATAAAGCACACAAAGTCAACAGAAAGAGGAACCGTTTAAAACAAATGATGGCGAATGAGAGGCAATGTCCACCGTTTCAAACTAATTTAGTAGCTTTGGCCTACTAGAACACTTGATACTTGTTAAAGTATTTTAATGTTTAAATTTCTTGTATTTTTATAAATCACGATCGTTCTATTGCCTTAACAAGAATTGATTTATAATGTTATTTTTCAGCTTATAGATCTAGAAGTCAAGACTTTTCGCTCATTAATAATGCCCTAGCTTTTAAAGAGGCTCTACACTGAATTTGCTTAAGTTTTTGTCAATAGTAACTTTATTTTTTTACGAGTGTAATAAACTATTGGCTGTTCTTGTATCTGATCTCTAATATCGAAATTTATATACCTCTCAAACCCATAATTTTGATACCATCTACTGTCTCAAGTGATTAGATATGAATTAAAGAATTTAGAAATTTTAACGTTCCTCGATCAACGTCCCTTTATCTTTGCTTTCCTTTCTTGCCTTAATTGTAATTCTTGTATTTGTTTTACCACTTCAGAATGAATTATACAGTTTGAATAACAAGTATGTCAACAAAGATTGGTGTATTTTGCTTATATTTATGCTAGGCAATTCAATTTAACTATTATTATGTACCATAAATTCTATCGTAGGGAATTAAGTGTTATTTAAAAAACGAGAAAACTGAAATAAAGTTAAAGATTTTTATCATTTTATATTTCCTTGACATGATTGAATGTAAGAGAGATGGAAAATATTTGTCAAAAGTAAAAGTACAAAGTGAAAAGCGACAGAGCCAGAATTTGAACGCAAAAGGTAGGTCATGCACTTCTGATTTAACCAGATAGATACTAATAAAGAATAGAAGATGACTGGAGGACTTGTTTGCACAGTTCTTGGCGTTAAGAATTTGATAGAAGGACTAGGGAAGGAGTTAGTCAGCAGGGAACAAAATAGCATAATGGGGTGTGGAGAATTTATTATGCAACACGTGTATTATTACCACGCAATTGCAGCTTTTCGTGGCTTCGTTTTAGGGTCTAACCAGTGGCTCAGTTCCAACATTTCATACTCTCAAAAAAGGGAATTTTCACAAAAATGCAGCAATAGTAATCCGAGTTTACATATTGGAATCAGAAAGGCGAAGAAATAAAATTTTGCCAAGGTAGAGTGGTCGAAAATGGAAAAAACAAAAGGTGATTTGTTTTAAGCTGATTATCAACATAATAAATCTTTGCAGATATCGTTAAATCCCTTTGCATTTTCTCATTCCTTAACCAAAACAAACTAATGAAAAAGGCATGCTGCTCTGAGATTGGTTTTCAAAAAATTAACAACAGATAAACAGCCGCAATTAAAACCAGCCAATAAATGTCAGACTCGAAGCACGCGCTATGAAGTTCGTTGGCAAAAATCCTAAATCTCCATATCAAAACTTGCTTATAGCAGTTTGAGCAATTAATAAAACCATTATAGGTTTCCTGTCAAGGTAGCCTAATTTGAAGCCAACACAAAACCACGGCCAAGCCCTGCAGCATGAAGAGGAGGATAGATGACAAGCGATGACGAGTCCAGCCAACTCGTCGCATTGACAAAGTGAAAAGTGAAAAATGAGACAGGAAAGCGTTAACAACTTAAAATGGTTGAATATTCAAGCCACTTGGTGATGCCGGCCAAGGCCATAGCCAGTACCACCTTCGATAGCGCAGATTGTGTACCGCAGATTATCTGCCAAAATGCTAACAATAACAAATAAAAGAGGGAAATTTAACCTAAATAACTCAAAATAACTTTTCTTTTATCTTCAAAATGAATTTATCTACATGTAATTGTTTAAAGTGGAAGCCCTCAATAAGACTCCAGAACAAGGAATAAAAGTGGCTAGTTAAAAATTAAAGCCCATCAATTCCTACATATTCACTACATTAAATATACTTAAAACCTCTTTGCTCAAATAATCTTGCTTTCCTTAACCTCTACTGTTTTTGAAGTACGATTTCAATAATTTTTGGTGGATTTGTGATTTGCTGTTAGTTATCAATTTGCTCTCCTTTTTCGCTTCCTCCGTTTAAAACGTCTCTTAGCTTTACACTTCTCTATTTCAAACTATTTGTGGGGTTGACTTTCCATTCTCTATTGAAACATCTATTTAAATTACATTATTCGAATACCTTGTACCTTTTATATGATATGGCTTGTAGATATAAGAGGAGGAACAATTAATATGTTTCACTTATCTCGATTGCCAGAGGCAAACGGATAAGTAAATAGCAGAATTTTTTCCCATGG